TTACCTCATATAATTTAGACCAATTTAGGGCTCTTGGCATTGCATGCTTTACTCCAAACAATATCCAATTTTGATACTGATTTAACCTTCTTTTGTGTTCTATATTATTTGGGTCCCATTGGGCATCTCCCGAAGGGAAATTCTGCTCCAAAGTTCCAGGGAGAGTTTCATTCATGCATGCTGCTTCTGCTTGTACTCTTGCTACTTTTAACACCATCTGTTTCTCAGTACTATCCAACAAAGTATCCAATATCACTTGTAAATCATTCCAGTCAGGGTCCTGAGTTCTAATAATTGTCTCTACCATTCTTCCTACTTTCTCTGGATCTTCTCTATATACCCCTGCTGCTTTTTTCCATGCCATCAAGTCTGTGATTGAAAATGGCACTTTCACATATACCGGCCCATTCTGTCCTACTCCTTGTCTTAAAGGAGCTAGCAATGGAGTTCGTTGTCTAGTCCTTTGAGAAACTGGAGTCTGAGCCTCTGCCTCTTCTACCTCCTCCCCCATTCCACTACTATCCGGTTCTGTTTCAACACTTCTTTCCCTTATACGTGAGGGAGGGAAATTCCGTCCCTCCTGCGGGGGTGCTACTTCTAATTCCAACTCCATTTCATCCTCTTTTGGTACTGTACACCTAATGCACCTCTTTCCAAGATCACAAGCTGAACAACAACTCTTACCAAAGTATCTTGACTAATTAACTTACACTCATTGTGCCAATCCACTCGCTGCCTCAAATAAAAAAAACAAATCTACATACGGTACTTCATTCCATTTGCCTTCTCTTCTACAAAACAACATCAACTGCAAAACAGTATTATAACTCAAGGTTCCATTCTTTGGCCACTTTTCCTGATCCTCCAAAACATACAAAGGCCACCAATGGTTACAATACTCAATCATCTGGCTCTTGTGCAAATCATCATGTAAATCACTCCAATGCACTAACAAACACCCCAACAGCGAGGTCTTTGGTATCTATTCAACCCTTGCCAAATTCCCAACACTCTTACTCTTAAACAATTTTACAAATCCTGATGGCATCCCAACAAAATATTCAAAGATAATAGGTAAAATTCAAAGGTGACAGTGGTTTAACAAGATTCGATGGCAAGGTACACTTGATTATTTACTGCATAGAGGACAGCATCAGACAAAACTGTCAGGGAGACCCTCCCGTTGAGTCATGAGGTTCAGAAAGGACCCCCTTGCTTTCTAAACTCCTTCTCAGAGAGGAGTTTAGGTGCGGCTGGATCCAATCCTAGTCCCAGACTTGGTCAACAGTTTATGTCTAAAGGATTATAGGTAACAGATAGAGTTCAAAGATAACGAATAGAGTTCAAAGGTAATGAATAGAGTTCAGAGGTAACGAATAGAGTTCAGAAGTAACGAATAGAGTTCAACCAAATGTCCAACCCAGCAATAGCTTTCACTTATGACTTACAGGCAGACGCCTAGGCTTCCGACTGCAAATGGGTACCCTCTCAGCCCCAACCCTGCGTAGCTTTTGCTGCGCCTTACAGGCAGGCTTTCCAAATGGGAACATTTAACCCCTACCAAATGGGGACTAGCCCACCCCAACCCTGACAGGCTGGTGTCCAAATTTCTGAAAGAATGCCTTAATACTCACAAAACAATGTTCTTCGCTCAGGGGCTCTTTGGTCCAGAGATTGGAAGATCCTCTCCAAGAATCCCTCAGTGCCGGCTGAGGTTCCACGATCCCAGGATCCGTCGAGGCTCAAGAGCAGTGTCGCATCTGGGTCGCCAAAATCTGCTACCGTAAGTCGGCAGATGATGAACTCTCTAAGACTCAGTTTGGAGTTTGGATATCCTTCAGTAGAGTTTGCCTGAATATGACTGAGGTAACAAAATTGCTTGGGCCAAATCCAGGACCAAGTTCCTCTTGAGCATTGGAGGACCAACAGCTGGTGGATAGGAGAAAGTGACAGTATAGCCACTGTAAATGGAAAGCAAGGACTTCCAATGAAGATGGTTGCTGTTGAAAATGCTGTAGAGTGTATTTAGGAGTTGAACACTGTTCAGGAATTCAAAATTCCTTCAGAAAACAAGAAGGCAAAATAAACATTTAGGCAATGAACACTAAGAAACAATGTACACCAGGTGAATGGATGGAAGTGGAGTAGGTGAGGATGGCCAGATGGTTGAGAGGGCAAGGTTATGTATACAGAACTGTGTATGCGTATATACATATATGTGTGTATACATGTACAGTTTTGAATAGAGAACAATGGATGTATCAGTAGGTGTATAAATGAGTGCATGTGGATGATGGCTAGAGAAAGATGTAGAGGAAGGTGGATGGAGAGATAGAGAAGAAGTAAATGGGATGGCTAGATTGATGTAGAACTTAGGATGGGGACAAGGAAATGGAGGTTGTTTTTTTTTTATTAACAGAAAAGTTGTGTATGTAGGTGGAGAGATGGAGGGAGAAACACAAAGAATGTCTAAGGACATATGATAGTGGGTAGAAGAGATCTGTAGAGGGATGGATGAATGGATGGAGGAGATGAACAAATTAATGGAGAGATGGATGGAAATAAAGCATGTAAGGAATGGAATGTAGTGATTATTAGATATGTGTAGAATTGTAGGAGAGATATGGTAAGCAAGGAAAGGAATAAGGGGAAAGTAATATATGGGAATGAATGCATAAAGAAAGCAGATGGAAATGGGGATTGGTGCATGGATGGGTGGATGGCTGGGATGAATGTAAGAGTGGATGGTGAAAAGGACCATGTGTAGTAGGGTAGGTAGACTGCCTGTTTGTTCCTTTTTTACTGGTAGAGAACCAAATCAATAGCAGAGCAAATTAGATCCAGTAAACCTTTTTCTCCCAAGTGCTGGGCATTAGCATAAACATGGGTTAAGGGGAAATCCAGTTCTTTGGGTTATAAGGATTTTGTCCCATGTGGTGAGGAAGTCAGGTTTGACTCTTCAACAGAAATTTCCTGAGTATAAGTTCTGTAATGATGAAGTAAGGACAGATGGCAGATTTTAAAGACCTTTGAAAGTTGTGTCTTGACCAATACCTGAATTGGGTTCTTGGGACATGAGTGGAAAAGAGCCAAGTTTATATTTCAGATGGACTCAAATACCAGGAATGTTGGGTAATCAGAATAATGGGCCCACAATTTGTTTTTTCATTCCAACAAGAAATTATTGGACAATACAATGTAATCACCATGCCCTGGGTAGCCTTAGAGCTATAGGGCTTGGGATTTACTTTTTTTTTTCCTGCGGAGGTTCCATCAGTAAGAGGGTTATAAACCTAGGTTGAGCTAGAATTTTAGCCAGATTTTAAGGGAAGTTCAAAGATCTGGCCATGACTAAGCAATGAGCAAAGCTCTTGGGAGGTATTAACTTTCACATAGATCTTGTTATCCTCCTTAGTCCCCAGTGTTTAATTCAGTCCATGGACAGTGAAAGCAACACCAGAGTGAACAAATTCCTACTCCTTGGCCTCGATGGATCTGCAATTCTCCAGCCCTTCCTCTTCATCACCTTCATTGCCATTTATGGAGCAACAGTAGTAGGAAACCTCCTCATCATGCTGCTGTTTATCTGTGAGCTCAGACTTCCCAAGCCCATGTACATTCTGCTGGGAAATCTCTCCTTCCTGGACTGTTGTTACTCCTCTATAACTGCCCCCAAGATGTTGACTGGCTTCCTCCTTCCCCCATTACAGGCAATCTCTTTTGCAGGCTGCATGGTCCAAATTTTCTTTTTCCACTTCACCGGAGGAATCAAAATCTTCCTTCTTACTGTCATAGCCTATAACCATTATGTGGCTGTCTTCAATACACTTCATTACGTGACTGTGATGAATTGGATGGTGTGTGTAGGGCTACTAGTAACATGTTGGGTAGGGGGCTTCCTTCACTCTGTTGTCCAAGTGGTCATCATTGTTCAGCTCCCTTTCTGTGGTTCTTAAGAACTGGACAACTTCTACTGTGATGTACTTCAAATAGTCAGATTGTCCTGCACAGACACCATCATGATGGAGCTGTTGATGGTATCCAATAATGACCTAGTAACCCTTCTTTGCTTTATTGTATTAGTCATCTCCTATTCCATCCTTTTAGCCCAACTGAGAAGTCATTCCGGTTAAGAGTGTCGCAAAGGTCTTTTTACCTGTGTCTCCCACATCACTGTGGTCAACTCCTCTTTGGACCTTGTATCTACATCTATACCAGGCCTTTTTCTTCCTACCCAATGGACAAAGCAATCTCACTTCTCTACACAGTTCTCACACCTGTCTTGAACTCCATCGTCTACATGCTAAGGAACAAGGATATAAAGGTGTTCTTGAGGAAACTTTGGTGACTGTAACAGCAATGTTGGGCTGGAGAGAGCACCAAGTGGAAGGAATGAGGATAGTCCTGCTGTTTTAGGATCCTATGAGGTATGTAATTGCTTTTGTGAGGGTGAAGATGAAAGGCTATAGATGCCCCACAATGGAGAGATTAGGACCATTTCTAGGCATTTTCACTCTAAGCATTTGACAGTGGCTTGGTTAGCACTTTTTTTTCTTCTTTTTCCTTTTTTTTTTTTAATTTGATGTTCCTTCACCTTTCTGGGGGCAGGGTAGGGGGACCTGTGTCATGTCTGAATGTAGGTCCCTGTGCATAAAGTCAAGTCTTCTCTCCTACATTACAGGACTCAGAGATTCACAGCTGAAACCTGTTTCTCATGACAAAGATGGAAATGATAAGCATGGCAATACTCATGTATGTCTAGTAGGGTGTTAAGCACAACAGACACCACAAAATCCATGCAGATGCTCACACATGGAAAGATCTGAGAATGGAAAAGTCTTCCTATCTGTCCTGTCCCCCTGACTCTCTTCACATGTATCCTGCATACTGCCAACCCACCTCAGTGACAGCAAATGGTAAATCCTCCTCCTTTGAAGGCTCACCAAATTTCTTTGTTCCCAGTAGGGTCACTCCACAACTGACCTTGAAGACCCTTCTTTGCAACTGCCTTTCTGACAGCCTGTTTGCCGAAGTCCTGATAGACCTGATCTTCTCTGTCACCAGAGAGACATGTTGAGTCAGCTGTGGACTCAGCATGTATAATGCTTCAGGTGCCACAGCAAATCAGAGGCTGAAACTCTAAGCTGCAGTGGTGGGGAAAATGCTTTAAAACATTGCCTTGGAAGAATCCCAAAATGGTTTCTCCTCTGTGTGGAAGAGAAACTGGCAATTGTTGTACAGTGACAGAATAGTAACATTTAACTTACAGGATTTGAAGATAAGGGGTTTCTACCTGAGTGTGAAACCTTGACTGAAGAGGGACAGAAAAGTTTTCAGGGAAAAACTGCTAGATTTGGAGTAAATGAGAGATTTCTCAAAGTCCTAAATTGTGTATTCAACTATTCCATTTGTATGCGGTGATGGTGGTGACCCCTAAACTTCAAAACACTGAGTGAATAAGGACTTCTTACTACCCTTATTTTAGGTCAGTTTCTTTGGAATCTTTAGTCTGGCACAGAGATTCTGCAAACAGGACACACACAGCTTGAAAGTATGAAGTAGTTATGTATTGGCTAATACAGACAATAGATAGGATGAAAGAGGCTACTAATTAAACAATAGTCTTCTCACCACCCTGATAGGGCACTTCAGGACTCTTTTCTGCCCAGCCACATATCAGTCAGGAGAAGAGTCAACCTCCACAGCTATCTAGCTATCTATAGAATAGAATCTGTAGGAATAGATTCTTAGAGTTGCTGAGTTGCTTTCTCAACACTGCTAACAGTGATTAGATAGATACATACATGTGGTCATACAAAATATGCTTGGATTATGCATTTTTCTCTCCACAGCAACACAACTAGCTTCCATGGAGACATCAGAATTGAGGTTGCCTAAATCTAGGGAAGACGACTGTCAGTGCTGACATACCGTCCGTCTCCACACCACCGAGCAGAGGTCATTTCACACCCACAGAGAAACATGCACAGTTAAACCCAGAGCTAATTCAATCTCTTATCTCTAGTCTGCTCAATGCACAAGGTGTGGTTGGGAGTGGCAAGACCTCTTTCCCTTCCATGTGCATATTTACTCCATTATTCAACTACAGAACAGTTGAGGAATGTCTCTCTGGAGAGCCAAAGAGATGGCTGGAGAGATATCAGACCCTTTTTCCTCACATTGGTTCTGTAAGTGGGTCAATCTGTTCCCAGTTTACAGTTAAGACCCAATTATCAATGGAGCTGGTCTGTCACCTTATCTCCATGTTGTGCTCTTTGCAGTAAGGTCACCACTCTTGCCATACTTGCTATCACACTTAGCTCCTGGCTGGTTTTCTCTTGTGAAGGCCCCATTGCTTTCTTTTGCATAAATGTCTGTCTTGTACAATGTTTTGTAATAGTAAGATGCAATAATTGTACAGCAATTCCTTTCAAATAGTCTAAAAGCACTTTACAAATACTGGTGAGTACGACTTGCAGCATTTGTAGAAGCTAAGACATAAAGCAACAAACCAATAAGTTCATCCTTCCATTTCATGCTAAAAAGTCTTAATTTTCATTATTTTTTGGAACAGCTTCTCCTTATTTAAGAATCTGGTTACCTTGCTTATTTTAGTAGTACTGAAGAAGAGTGGAATGCACCTCACTCAAAAGAGAGAAACAGCAATATGTTTTACTGAGGTAAAATAATAATATGACAGAGTACAGTAAGTTGGATGGAATTTAACAAAGTTTTAACAGTGGTTTCACACTGCAAGGTTCACCTTATTAATTACTGCATGGAAGAAACATACAAAGGAAAATTGAGTTAAAATTACTCATACAGAGACCAGAGGCATAAAGAGTAAAGAGGACCCTCCTGTTGAGTCATGAGGTACAGAGTGAACTCCCTTGCTTTCTAAACTTCTTTTTTGGAGCCTAGGTGTGGCTTGATCCAATCTTAGTCTCAGACTTGGTCAACGGTTTATGTTGAATGGAATTATTCATACAATATTTGTAATAGCTGAGTAGCTACATGGATTAGTAATGTTTCGTAGTATTAATTCAGCATGCTATCAGTCACTTAATGAGGTTCTGTCACGGGTAAGGGATCTCTCCACCTTGGGTAAGGAAGGATCTCTTAGTCTCAGGTAAGAAATCTCTAACCTTGAGAGGCATCCCTGCTCAAAGGGAGAGTCACTTGTTGTGCAGTCCAGCTGCCATTCAGGGATAGCTCAAATTGGGCCATCCTAATTGTAATATTTGTAGAGTGAAGTAGCTGGCTGTTAGTCAATAGTATAGACAAGATAGATGTCTCTGTTTTAGCTCTGATATCTTGTTCTGTACTTTGTTTATTTCGTACTTTGGGGTTTTGAAACCACCTTTTGCAATATTTTTCAAGACCCCTTCATTCCCTTGTACATGAGCCAGGGGCTTTCCAGCTCACAAGTTCACCCCAAGGACATGAGGCCTGTTGCTTCTTGGTCAGCCTGAACCAAAGTAACAATGCTTTCTTGAGCTTCTTTGTCTTTAGGGAGAGAGAGAAAAAGTGGAATAAACTAAACAGAAGCATGTCTTTATTTCTCAGTCAAGTGGCACTTTTCCACATAAACATTTTACTTCAAACAGGAGCAAGGGAGAAACACAGTCAAATCTATCCATCTTATCTCAGCCATGCTCCAAAACCTAGAATGTTGGCCAGTGATTTTAGTCTTGATTTTATAATAATGATTTAAAATAGTCCGCAGATCATGTTTGGTGAAATAAAAATTCAGTTCTTATGACACAACATTGCCAGAGCCAACACTTCAGCAAATGCACAGACTGATATGGTGGAATTAAGGTATGCAAATCTGGACATTTTTAACCTAAGTGCCTAAACAAAAACTTTTCTCCAGCCTCCTTTTATAGCTAATGGACATGAATCACCTTTCTAGAGGACTTTCCTATAGCATTCAGATTGTATTTTAGATTAAAATTCGAAAAATAACTTTTCTAATGGTAATGTCAAGTATATTGAATCACACACTGGGAAATGTAAATTTATTTCTACAAGTGAGGTCAATCTTCTCTAGTCCCAAATATTAGAACGTTATTTCCAGACCTATCCATAGAAAAATATTCTGTCCCTTCAAGACCAGTATCACAGAATGGTTGCGGTTGGATGGTACCTGTGGAGATACCTAGTCCAACCTTCCTGGTCAAAGCAGGATCAACTAAAGCAGGTTGGCCAGGACATTGTTAAGTTGGGTTTTGAACATCTCCAAGGACAGAGACTCCACAACCTCTTTGGGCAACCTATTCCAAGTGTTCAATCATGCACACAGTAAAAATCTTTTCCTTATGTTCAGACAGAATTTCCTGTATTTCTACATATGACAATTGCCTCTGATCTGTTCACTGAACACCACTCAGAAGAGTCTGGTTCCATCTTCTTTACAGGCACGCATCAGATATTTACACAGCCATTTATATTTTGAAAAAGATTCCTCCTGAGTCTTCTCTTCTCCAGGCTAAACAACACCATCTCTCAGCCTCTCCTTATATGTCAGATGCTCCTATCTCTTAATCATCTTCAAGATCCTTTGCTGGACTTGCCCCACTATGACTATGTCACACTAGGGAGCCAAGAACTGGACACAGTATGCTAGATGTGTTCTCACTGGTGCTGAGTAGAGGGGAAGAATCACCTCCTGCTACCTGCTGGCAGTGCTCTTCCTAATGCAACCCAGGATGCTGTTGGCCTTCTTTGGCTCAAGAGCTCATTGTTGGCTCATGTCCAACATAGGGACAGCTTCTGTCTTCTCACAGAAGTCACTCCTGCAGCTCCCACACCCCTGACCCTGCTACCAAAACCTTGCCATGGAAATTCAATACAACCAGATTTTGCTGGATGGCAGGACATATAATGAGCTTACTATTATCTCTGATGCTCTGTACAGTGGCAGTGTAGCTAATAGGATAAATTTTCCTTCAGGAAGAGTTTTGATAAACTTTGTCATTTGAATGAGCACATGATATCCTGGGCTGCATCAAAAGAAGTGTGGCCAGCAGGTCGAGGGAGGTGATTCTGCCCCTCTACTCTGCTCTGGTGAGACCCCACCTGGAGCACTGCCTCCAGCTCTGGAGCCCTCAGCATAAGAAAGACATGGACCTGTTGGAGCGGGTCCAGAAGAGGGCCACGAAAATGATCAGGGGGATGGAACACCTCTCCTATGAAGAAAGGCTGAGAGAGTTGGGGTTGTTCA